CACACGTAAAATTGAGATGTAAAATCGCCTAACTGCCTCAAAGATTTATTATTACAAGCCTCTAAAGAAAGAATAGGGCGGGTTTCTTACAATATAACTAAAACATAGGTGTTAGAAAAGAGAAATTTACAATTGAGATGAGTTTTGGAAATGGAAGAATGTCAAGAAAATAAAATGTCTAAAAGGTCAGCATGAAATGTTTCATGGCAACTTTACCAAAACATGATTATAAACTTAACTTACCATTTCTCCACTGTAGCTAATCAAGTGTTTGTACTTTAAAAGAATCTCTGAACATGATGGGCTCTCAGTTTTGATCCAAGCAGTCCTCATATCAAATGTAGACTTCACAGCGAGGCTTATTTCCTTTTTGTTGGCTGTATTTGGTATTGCATCATTCATCCACGCAACCTGTCAAATTTATCATCTCATTATAATGACAGATATGTAAAGTTGTAACTGAGAACAGGCTCTTACTTACCAAATTGTCTAACAAGTTGTCAGACTCAGGACTAAATGAATTATCAGTGGAAGATGAAGAAGAACTTTCTTCAGGGTTTGTGTTGTCTTGTTGATCAATCTCTTTGCCTTTCACATGTTGGTACTTTTTCTTTTCAGGGGGCAACTTGGCCTGCAATGTTTCAAATTTGGTTTTGACCTTTTTGTACCATGATTTCTAAAACAGACAAAGACAGAAATTTATTGCAAACTGAACCAAAAATTTAAACCAGAATTAACACTTGCTTTGGTGCATATTTGCATCATCCTTACCCAGGGCTGATCGCCATCATCTTTGGCGAGCGATAGCGAGCCCTTGCCGTGTTTGGGCGCTCCAAAAAGTGACTGGTCGTGCGTCTGTCCCTCTGTGAGTCTGTAGCGTACACGCTCACGTTTCTCAGCAACTACAACACTAATAGTTCCCAAATTTTGCACTGAACATCTCCTAAAGCTCCCACAGGGGGAGTTTATCTTATATTCACGATTACTACCGTTTGAAATATTCAAAACATCTTTTTGAATTAGGTTTTTAGCGTGGTTAGGTTGGCAGCACAATTTTTCATACTTGCGGCCGCGGCTCTCAAATACGGGCTGGCGGCTGGCAAAACATTGGCAAGTAAAACAAAATAGAGAGCAGAAGGGCTTAGAAGTGAGTTCGGTCACAGTTTTTCGATATTCTAGAATTATTGAAACCCCTCCGGAGTGTCAACACAGTGAAATACGGAAAATGAAAGTGACAATTATTACGCGTTTCATCCGTCCTCCGCCCCCTCCCCTCCCCCGCTACAGGGGAAATGTTTTAGTCAGTGTTTGATAATTGCAAGAATGATTTGGTCTTTGTAAGCTTTGAGCAGCTTTCAGAGTGTATTTCCATTTTTATTCTGAGACATTATATTTTTTAGTTGTTTGCTTTGCTCAATAACAGTTAGAAAATAGATTAATACAATCTAAAAGTACAAACCAGACAAATCTTGCCAGAATAAATAGTCTTTGCTGACTCTTGGCACTGACTCTGGGAAAAGGCTTCATTGCAATGCTGTAAGTTTACTATAGTACTAACCTTAAAGATAACTATATGGTGAGTGAGTGTAGCGCATACAAGGTTTGACATTGACATCTGATTCAATAAGACGATTCAGTGATTTGGTCATATGATTTCATGAGACGATTCAGTGACTTGGTCATATGATTTCATGAGACGATTCTTTTAACTTCATCATATATTGTCTGCGACAACTGGTAATTTGTGTCGGTCATGGTTTGAGTTTTTAATTTACTCAGAATGTTAGGTAAATACTTATGCTATACTGTTTCAAAAATTAAATATCACATCATGACTATCATTTTGAATAAGATTAACTTGCATTTAGCAATAAGTGGGCTCGACATTGGATTCCATGAAACGATTCATTGGATCTGACAGAAGGTCTTCTCCCTAAAGTAGTTGCAATCAGCCTGCCTGTAAATGTGTCTCTTTCTAATTAATTGAGATAAATCAACATAGTTTCATCCACTAGTTTAAAATATAAGGGAGATAAAAGGCTTTTTAGGTATTTTAAATAACATTGCGTGTTCATAAGTTTAATAACGAGGAGATATCGAATGGTAATTGAAGCATTTGTGAATCGCACTAAGCAATTCAATGCTGACTGTTGAATGTTACTCGACTGAGTAACAGTGTCGGGGTTCATGTTACGACACCATGAACAGGAAACACACTTAGAAATTGTGTTCATGTTAACAACTGCACCCATACTTTCAACTAGAATTATATGATTTTGGACCAAAATTTCCCCAGTGAGTCAGTCATTGTTTCCTGCAGTTTTTGGTGTGCTGATCACGAAAATGACATCCAATTTCATCCCAGACCTTTACTTTTCCCAAAATTTACCAATTTCGGACCAAAATTTTGAAGTTGAGTTTTACATAGTTTCCTGCAGTTTTTGGTGTGCTGATCACGAAAATGACATCCAAATTCATCCCAGACCTTTACTTTTCCCGAAATTTACCAATTTGTGACCAAAATTTCAAGGTTGAGTTTCCCATTATTTCCTGCAGTTTTCAGTAAGATAATCACGAAAATGACATGAATTCCGGCCATTTCGTTACGGAAGACACTGTATTGTCCTTATTCTGCACATATTCTTCGCCATCTCCTATAAGAATGTGTTCAGACGCATCGCTCGCCTACTGCGCGCCCAAACTAAACGGCGCGTACCCCTAGTTTAACTCAGGAAAAGCCATAACAATCCCTTTTGCCATGGCAATCTTTAAACTATTTTCAGGATAGCTAGAAAAGGAACATACATATCATATCGCATACCATGGGTAACAAAGGCAGACCTACACTACACTAACTTACTACTTCTCAGGGCTTGTTGCATCTTTTGATACATCTTCGTACAGCATTTTCATCATATTTTCTTGGTGGGTTTTATTGATTCGTTTATGAACTCTGACAAATTCAATAACATTCATTCCGATTTTCTTCGAACTTAGAACTGCAAGCACATCAATTGGATCCTAAAAACAAAACACAATGTCAACACTCACAATGAAATTAATTTGAAACCAATGGTACAAAGAGAGCCAGTCTCACAGAGAAACCAAAAATAATACATAAACCTTCTAAGTTGTTAAAGGCACTGATCAATTGGGCACACAAATATGGCAAAAGCCACTCACAAAATAAGAATAGACTTTAAGATAGATAAAAGGGATGCCAGTAAAGCAGTTCTCTGACAAGTTCCATAACTTAAAACTACTTGTACTAACCACTGAATCAGCGTCGATTTCTTTCCTTCTTTTCCTGTCACTTGGCACTTTGGGCTTTCTAACTCTTTTCCTTATTGTGTAAGAAGCTAAGGAAGTGCCGCTTGATGCACTGGATCCAGCATTATTCTCTACTAAAGGCTTACAACCCTGAAATAAAAGAAATAATATGGTTACATGGTAAAGGTAAAAAACTTGTAACGTAGAGGGAATGAATGGAAAGTCATACCAGGGTATCATCAGTACAGGAACCACCACCATCTGGACCAGCCGATGTTTTGTGTGCCACAACAATGAACATGATTTTCTTCCTTTGCCCAAAAGTAATGTTGGGGAAATGAGTCAGAAGAGTTTCATCAGTTAAGTCAAAGAAATCACCACCATCAACTTCTTGACCTACAAGACGGAAAGGTGTTAGCAGAAATTGCCACGATATAAATACGTACATCACTTATCAGTTAACAAATAATTGAGCCTAAACAAGCAGTACGAGAAAAACAGTGAACTGCAAAGCATTTAAGTAACTTACTAAACAGTATTTCCACAGTATCCGCACTGATAAAAGAACAATAATTCTGTAGGTAGTCCGCAACTTCTGACACCATGGACTGCCTGTTTATGACAGACGTGTCAATAGATGGTATCGTAGAGCCCATGATGACCAAACCACAACCTACGCCAACCAAAGCCAAGGAATGATGAACCACCTGCAACAAACAAAAGAAACAAATGAAAAAAAACCAGAAGAGGGGAATTTAAAAAAAAACAAAGTCACCACACTAAGCAGGCCAAATGTCAGATAGGCCTGAAACAGCCCACGAGAACAGGAGTTTCCAAATGTGCTGATCAACACAAACATAACCTCCTTGTTCGCACAAACTTAATCAAAAACTAGCAACAAGAAGCGACAACACTTAACAATGACACAAAAATGCATCCCCAAACCAAGAACTGAGGCGCCATTCTTCAAGAGCGCATTAAAACTAAAACACAATCGTGGAAAGTCTTAAATCTTTGAAAGTAAATTTCTTGGGCTGACTGCTTTACAGACAGCGAAAAGCAAATTCTGTTGAAACCCAAAATAATTGTTTGGAAAAACAGAAGAAAAGAAACAATGCACTTGAGTATGTTAAGTGAAGTCCTCAAGGTGTGCTGAACCAGCATGGGATAAACCTAAACCACTTACTCAAATTGTCTTACCTGCATTGTGGGCAGAGGAAAGCGTGGCTTCCTTTAGTTTGAATGGAAGCCACAACCTCTTAAAATTGTTTCGAAACAATGCTTCTGAGATTGTAAACGATAATTGGAAAGGTGAAGTCCTACATTTGAACTTACGGCCACCGTCAACTACGTAAATAAACGAATTAACGTTAACTCGTTAGTTTTGTCCTAGGGCCTTAACGTTAACGAGTTAATTTAGTTTTGTCGAGTTTTGTGCGATATCTTTTTAACGTCGTTTAAGTTAGAAGCGTTCGTCTTTATTTTTGAATTTGGCTGCAATTTTGGGAAAAATGTGTCTGGAAAAATCGTCGACAAAACATCAGTTTTAATGAAAGGTTTTATAAAATTTGCAATAACATTAAGTTTGGTCATCACTTTTCAAAATTCACAGAATTCTACTGTTCGCTAAGATGCGCTAAAGCGTGAAATAAATTTTAACGCCATTAACGCGTTAATTAAACGATAACTCGTTATCAAGCTCAACAGAGCCTTAACTTTAACGAATGCGTTAACTTCGTTCGGTTAACGGGTTAAATTTATTAAACGCGCGTTAAACGCGTTGACTTGAATATTAACTTTAACAGCCCTGGTACACTCTACAAATCAAAGAGTGTACATGGTACGCTCTACCTGGAGCATGCCTGCAAGCACGCTCTAGCTAGCGCATGCCTGCCAAGCATGCACTAACTAGTGCATACATGCCATGTACACGCTAACTGAAGCATACATTTACTGCATAAGGGATAGGGAGTTTTCAGCATCAGGAAGCGTGTACATGCATGTATGCACTAGTTAGTGCATGCTTGGCAGGCATGCGTAGCTAGAGCGTGCTTGCAGGCATGCTCCAGTTAGAGCATACTATGTACACTCTTTGATTTGTAGAGCACGCTTCCTGATGCAGGCAACGTCCTATCCTTTTGCACTAGATGCATGCTTCAGTTGGCGTGTACATGGCATGTATGCACTAGTAAGTGCATGCCTGGCAGGCGTGCGACAGCTAGAGCGTGCTTGCAGGCATGCTCCAGCTAGAGCATACAATGTACGCTCTTCAATTTGCAAAGTTATGAGAAGAAAAATAAGTACCAACAGGGCCTCTCCGATGCGTATAAGTCCAAAAGTCGTAGGTTTCCGTCGCCAAGTCGCATCTTGCGGGCTGTTTTCTCCCAAAGCCAAGGTGGCTCAAATTAACTTTCCTATAATAACGACCTTTTATAGGACTTCAGGGTGACAACGCCATGTAATCCCAGAAATGTGCGGGTTGAGACATGTTTATAAACATATTTTGAACGAAACGCTCACAGTAATTAAAACACATGCAAATCTCGTAAGATTTCTGACGGGAATCCAAAAAATGGGAATATTGTGCAGATGAGCGCAGATGATATTGTGCGCATGAGCATCCAATAATAAGTTTAAAAAAACTGTGTCAGTGTGACCTTACCTTACGTGTCATTTTGAGCGGATCCAGGCCGAATCGGACCGACTTTACCCCGACCCCTTCCGAGTTGGCCCCCAATTTTTTTTCTTACTCGCCTTGGTCCCAAAAGTCCCCAAAAAATTTGGTGCAAAAATATTGAGTTTTGGTGGAGTTGTAGGGGTCTCGAGTTTTTGACCTTCTGCAGAATATAAAAAAGGCCGAAAAAACGAAATTTTATTTTTTCTCAGGAAAAGCAAGTTGGGGTGGCTTTGCTGGTTGTAATCAATGAATACAAGGTAGAAGATCATGATTTGGGCAAAATTTGCCCACCGTGAGCCGCCTACCCACTTTGATGAACACACAAACTGTCAATTTTGAAGTTTTACTTAAAAATGCAAATATCTGACCTTGCCCCAACTTTTAAAATCTACCACTATGCATTGAAAATTGCCTTAGGGCACGACTAAAAAGAACGACAAAAATCTGAGGCGGTGAAGTAAAAATTTCTTTAAGAGTTCCAGAAAGCGTAAACTTAACATTGGACTTTTTCGCTAACTTTTGCAGAGCGAGCCCACTTTTCAGCAAATAGTGTTCCTTTGTCATCAAATATGATCAAAATAGATGTTATGTGAACTTCTCCACAGTGAGTTTTCTCACTTCCTTAGTGAGGCCATAGGTAAAACCATCATAGGCTGGGGTATTATCAGCTAAATCAGCTATTATAAGCCAATCTGTATAAAAGGTTGACTGAAGTGTGTGTGCGAGTGGTTTAAGTCATCTGATGTTCCCAGCCACCATTCCTTTTCTTTTAAAAGTTGCTTTCTCACTGACCGTAATGGCTCGACACTTTGTTAGAGACCTAAGACTTATTCATTTTAACAAAACAAAATAAAATTTTGAATATATTGAAACATTTTTAGATACTTTGTAAAAATAAATCACTCCTGAGTTGCAAAGAAGTTTTGAGCCTCTACGTTCAGTGAGGAAGCAATTATAAAAACAAAAGAACTTTGGCTCTCAACATCGGATGACTTCAACCTTTCTAACACAAACCAGTCAGTCGTTTATGAGATTAAGTTGAGATGAGCTGCTTCAACACATCAAATCACAATTCTTGTAATGAAATGTTTTGTTTCCACTACCTATTGTGATCTGCTTTGCACTGAAAAAGAAAAAACAATTCCATTTGTCTTTCATTGTTCAGGAAATTGACGAGTTAACAGTAAAGTATTACATAAACAGAAGCCTGATTGGAACAAAATTTTAGTAACGTTGGCAAAACTATCGAAAGCCATCTAAACAAGATGCAAAGAACAGAACTGATTCAGATTCAGAGCAGCTACCGTATCTTCTTATGACGCCTCTTTGTACAAGTTGCTTCCTTTTGTGAAGCTGTTAAACTGATATGTGCTTTAATTTACAACATAGGAAATTCTTTAGTTTGCACTTGATCAATAAGTTAAACTATGCACAAGATGATATTCAATTTGTGCGCTCCAAGTGTATAATTTATGCTCTTGAAAGTAAGCTATATTTTGTACATAAGCTTGCCAGGCTTTTGTGCATTGAAGCACATGCGCCACTTTGTGATAAAGGAACGCAAAAACTTATTCGCTATTATGAAAAATACGATTTCACGAAATCCTAGGAGTCACGAAGTGAATTTGGGTAGGAGTGTGGGGAAAGCAAAAAGTTATGTAAAAGGGGGTGGCTCAAGGGTGGCTACGAATGCCGTGGTGCCAATGTGGTCGATGTGCCCCCTTCAAAATTTAACCTTGGCAATAAGAGAAATCAAAATGCGGGAAATTCGAAAAAATTCCAATGCTAATGTATTCCACAGTGATCCGACAAAGGAACATCTTTGAAGTCCATCATTATGAAAATTTTGGTTGCAGAAAGAAGGCAGCAATTAATTTTCGCGGGTTGGCAACAATTTTGTCGGCGCCTGCGCCCTTGCGAAATCGCGAAGCTGAAAAACGAGTATAGTCGCGCATTAAAACTGCCCCTCATTGTTGCTGACGTTGAATGTTTGGCTTGTTTCAAAAGGCTACGGTTCTCTAGTCATGTTTTCTTCAATTCTGTGTAATAGTTCTCACTCACAACGTAGCAAACACCACGACGGTGGCTTGACAAACTTTAAAACTCGAGAGGGATGGTCTCGAAACGCGGGTGAGTCTTGTTCGAAGAACATGAGCACTGAAAGTCGCGAGGTGGAGCGAAGTGATCATGGTGCTAATGAATCAGAAGTACCATCAAACTGGTTAAAGGAGCAGCTATATGACCAGCTTATTCAAAAAGAGACTAAAAGTCTTAAAGTGACTCTTAAACTACATACATACAGGTAAGATAATTCACAGATGTGCACAGGTACGCAGTTAAATGGCTCAATTCACTCCGATTTGAAGAGTAACAAAAATTTTCAACAAAACAACAGCAAAAACAACAAACGCAGCGGTGCGGGATTGGTGCGGGACACTCTCATAAAAAGTCACTGGCCGGCCGGCCGATCCAAATGGCCACGTTCGAAACGACACCAATTCTATTGTTGCATCTTGTCTACCTGCAGTCAAAGAAATTTTTCATTTCGAACGTGCTATTTTTAGCTTTTGGAGTAAGCTGTACAGACCCAAAAAGAAGCTCCGCTATTGGTCCGGCTCGGCTCGGCTCCCCCCACTCCCTTTTTTTTCCTGTGACGAGTCGAGTTTTGCCATGGAAACGGCGATTTTGACAGCAAATTTCTCAAAATTGGCCGTTGACTTTTTAACCAGATTTCAGCATCAGAATCAGCGTTCAAAGTTCTACAAGTCTGCAAAATCTCATTAAAATCGTATAGAAAATTTCCGAAATGCATAAAGGGCCACACAAATCAAATCTCCAGCCGGCTGAATCCTCGGTATACTATAAGGCTACTTCGTGCCTAAAAACCACACAGTCACTTATTGTGTACATTCAAGAAATGCTAACTTGCGAACTGCTCCATACTGAAAGGATGAGGGAGGCAAAGCCTGTAAACATAGGCCCACACAAAAACGTAACCGTCGTCCGAACCTCCCCTCTCTTAACCCACCCCCACCCCTCGCCTTCAAGCAGGGTTTTCACTGTTGCATTGTTTACAAACAATAATATTTATTTGCACTCCTCTCAGGTAACTGTGGGACACTATGAGTTTGTGTGTCTTATTCGTCCTCAGACCCGTATGACATCTATATTGATCATATTTGATGATAAAGGAACACTATTTGCTGAAAGGTGGGCTCGCTCTGGAAAAGTTTGCGAAGAAGTCCAATGTTGAGTTTACGCTTTCTGGAGCGCTTAGAGAAATTTTTACTTCACCGCCTCAGATTTTTGTCGTTCTTTTTAGTAGTGCCCTAAGGCAATTTTCAATGCATAGTGGTGGATTTTAAAAGTTGGGGCAAGGTCAGATATTTGCAT